CTTGCAGAGCCGCATAACCATATGCATAAAGAAAATTATCTAATCACATTTCTGTCATAAAGACAAACGTAAACTACGATTGGATGATTTTCTTTATGCATATGGTTATGCGGCTATGCAAGTTTGTGTGGAATGGCCCTTAATATAGATATGCCATTTTGTATAGATCCATATGTATGTATATGCTGCTTTTCTTTTAGGAGATTGGTATTTAGTCTTCTTCTTTTTCCTCTTACATTAGACCTTTGGCCTATGTTATACTTCTCTCATATACTTGTGGCGTGCACACTGATTATTCAATCGCTACAAGCATATGGGACCAACAGTTTTAATACTGATTCCAAACAGCGGATTTTTCGAGAGATGTTTCTGTGGGTAAGAATACTTAGGAGATTGCCGACCTTTCCTAAGAGGAGACACAAGCGTAAATATTTTGGTTCCTAGGATCATACTCAGAACCTCTGACATGATAGACCAGTATCTGCCATGCTACGCTTATACTGGGGTATTCATAGTCGATTCTTATATTTAAGATCATCTTAAATATACTCTTAAGCACTAATCACAGAGCTGTATTAGCATCTTAAGACATTACTTATAGTGTTATGATAAGAACAGACTATGAATACTGGCCACAGTCGACACAAATGTTCTATTTTTTTGCCATTCAATGAATAACAAAAATAAGTCCGCTCTTATTTTAAAACTGTCTTGAGATGATGGCTCTGTGATATTTATAATACGGCTCACGATATCTGTTGAGACTATACTTAAAATAATTTTAAGCCAGTGGCACACAATGCTGGTTTTTCTGCTGGATTGCTAATTGGATTAGAGTACTGACAGTACCAGCATCGCAGCCAGTACAATGACAAGAATCTAATTCAGCTAGTAATCCTGAAAGAAAACTATCATCATATCATAGCCATTAACTTTAAAGAACTTTAAATATAAGGCTATGGCCGGTATTCACATTCAGTATTCAGTCGACTCTCATTTTAAGATTATTTTAAGTAATATTTTAAAATATTAATAACAGCCTTCTAATTGGTTTATGACATTTTAAGATTGGACTTAAGACAGTCTTAAATATAAGAATCAATTATAAATACTGGATATATAGAATAATACTTGCATTAACTGTCTCCTAAAAGGAAAGCAGTCATAATCTATTTACATAATTCTTACATTTAGTATAAAATTAATATGGAGAATACTTTATATTCAATAAAAAATGAAATTTTTCTTGTGAGATCACAATAAGGACGAAAAGGACCAAAATCAGTGATGTTCACTGAATTTATGGCTTATGAGAATTTACAAATTTTCTGAAAAATAATGATTTACCATAACTTTGAATAATTCATTAAAGTCAAATTGGAGCAGGCCAATAAAAAGTGTTAATGGTGAGATAAATTCATTCAAAGAATATGTATTACACATATTCTACACATAATAAGCCATTAGTAATAAATCAGAAGTCAGAAGGTAGAAATTGACCAATCATAGTCAATTATTTTTCTTACATTTGACTGTGATTGGTTAATTTTTATCTTCTGACTTCCGATTTATTACTAATGGCTTATTGTAGAATGGCCATTAGTTTAACATCTAACTTTGATCGTGGTGCTTCTTGTATTTAGGTAATATTATTTTCATGTCTGCGAGATTACCTATAATGATAAGAACTGCTGCATACTAGTGACAATTCGAGGATCCAAGTGGCTGCTTCTAGTATCTGGATAGATTTTCCCGGTAATTTGCTACAAGACATTAGCATTCTCAATGTGATTATTATTGTAGGAAGCACTGCTAAAGTGCACGCGAATGTATTCAAGATGTTGAACTTAAACAGGTCCTTTACCTTATAGAGAGATTCCAGGATATGACGCTTTTGTATTCCTAATTACACTTAATCACCCTCGAAAAACGGACCGCGAGCCACCAATGCGGCCTAGCAGATCGCTAACGTTAGTAAATGCAGCGTCACAGTGTCAATCAAATCATTTACTGACTCAACTCTACTCGATTCGGCTCGATCACACACCAGAAAGCTTGCTTTCCTCTTCGTGGAATGCCAGCCTTGCTTGCTATCGGTGGCGCCACCAATCGACGGTGTCCCTCACGGAGCCCCACGGATACCATCTCGGTCAATCGTGGTCACGTGACACTCGATACCATCTCAAATAATCGTGGTCACGTGACACTCCGTCGCGCCGCTATCTTCCATCCTGTTTCTATTTTCGCCGGTTGTCCTTGTTGATGGAGAAAACAGCTGTCAATCGTTTTCCACAGCTATCCACGACAATTTTACTGTGGTAACCCGCGATTCCTTTGCGGCAATGGAGCTACGAGCACAAGAAATGAATAATTCAATTAGATTTGTTCTGATCACAAAGACATGTGAAAATAAAATAATAGATAAAATGAAGTCATAGATATAGGCTGTGGTCAAAATCTCGCTACAAATGCTTTGAAGTATTTTATGGACCAATTAGAAGAAAGAATTTTACAAACTGATCAATTAAAAAACGCTTTAAAGCGTTTGCAGTATCACGTTGACTGTACCCATAACATTACACCAAACACACAAGGTCTATTTGTGTTGCTTGTCTGTTTGTGATGCTTTACACTCAACATCTTCGCTTTCTCTCTTCTCAATGCCCGAATATATATTTAACTCATTTTAAATTAAAACATTTTTGAGAATTTCAAGCAACAGACCTACATTCTACAATAAGCCGTTACTCAAGCTTTAAGTTTTAAGCAATAAGAAATTGACCAATCACAGTCGAATGTGAGAAGAATAATCGACTATGATTGATCAATTTCTTTATAGACTTAAAGCTTAGATAATATAGTTGCTTTCCATTTACATTGTTTCTCAGATAATTCTCACTTGTGATTTCATAACTCAGTTGAATGAACGTACCTTTTGCATTCTGACAAGTGAGACTCAACCGACTTTTTATCTATAATCTGTACAAGATTGAGACCGTGTGCTTTAGTGAATCTCATAAATTCACTTAAAAAATGAGATTACGAACTCTGATAGCAAAGCCTACGAAAACAGGTTTTGAGTAGAGCCTGCTATCAATTTTTGATTGCAGAAAGGCAACTGTACACAAAGTTTATACTATCAGACAATGTCAGCAAACTGCTGTCAAAAATATGACAAAGCCTGCTGACATGCTATGCCAGTAAATTGGTAACAGAAACTGAACAGTCTGCTGCATAACCTGACAGCAGATTGGCAGCAGAAATCGAACAAGATCTGTCATTTTCATATATGGCTCTGCCATGAGACTTGCTTCTTGTAAGAAAAAAACGCCAGGAGTCCTATAAGAATTGGTGTATGTAAATCAAATAGGCAAGTCTCCTAGAACTTTTCAAACTCTTTCGTAGTTTGCTCTCTGAATCACTGAATATTTTTTGGACTACTTTATAACTTTCTGTGTATTTTTTTTTTGAAATGTGAAGCTAAGCAATAATATTTTAGCAATAAAACTGTACTGATTGTTTCCAGTTTTCACACCAGTATACATAAATATGTACTTATGTATAATTATACAAGGTGTCTCACAACTACCGAATTTCCTCTTAAAGACATATTCTTGAAGTAATTTTGAGAAGAAAATCCTAATACAAAAATGTCGAGGCTACAATAGTTTTTGAATTATAATTGGTCAAAGATAGCATGTAATTCGAAAACTATTATAGCCTCGATATTTTCGTATTAGGATTTTCGTCTTAGAATGTTCGAAAGAATCCAGAAATAATAATAGAGGTTCTAAAAATAAAACAGTTTTTTATTTATAAGCATTTAAAGTTAGCTTACAATTCAAAAAATTATTGTAGCCTTGACATTATTCTAAAAATAAAACGGTTTTTTATTTATAAGCATTTAAAGTTAGCTTACAATTCAAAAAATTATTGTAGCCTTGACATTTTTGTATTAGAATTTTCGTCTCAAAATTACCTCAAGAATATTAAGAGAAAATTTGGTAGTTGTGAGATACCCTGTATATAACCGTTTATATATATATGTATATAAAATTTCTTATAAGAAACCAGTTCGATTTAAATGAAAATGACAGATCTTGCTTGGTTTCTGCTACCAATCTGCTTTCAGGTTATGTCAGCAGACTCTGCTCGGTTTTTGTCAGTAATCTGCTGGCAAAAACATCAGCAGGCTTTGTCGACAAATCCATAGCTAAATGCGGACACAAATGGCTATGGTTTTGTAGTAAAAATCTGATCGAGTTTGCTGTCAATTTGCGCGAAAATTGCTAACATTTTGCTATCGGGGAATCTGTGGTTGTCATGTGATAACTTTTTACCAAATTAAGGAAGTTACAACGTCATTAATCAGAGTGTGAAATACTCGACTCACTTCAGACTCAGTTTCACTTGTGTAAATGGAAAACAACTGATGACTTAAAAAACTGTAGAAAGCCTAGAACAAAACGTCATTAATAACAGCGAAAAGTAAGGGTAAACGTTGTTGGAAAGGACACAATCTAGAACAATTTAAAAGCACATACCACTCGCCTTCTTCTTCCAGGAAGCAACAATAATCCAAATGTGACGCTGTCATCCCGTAATACACAGCTTCCTGAGAGATGCTCTAGATTTCCTCTAATTTCGTAGCAATGTTCTCACCGTTTGATCAATCGGTTTGCTTGTGTATAAATCAAAGAATTGATCATGAAATCAAGTTGCCTCGATATCGTAATTGCGAGACATTTCACTCATTTCATCAGTTAGATATGGATATGACAAATACCGTCAGATATCAAAATCCCATCGCCGAACTATCATTGTATTTTTATCATCTCATCACCCATTACCTCAATCACCTGTGTCATTCAATAGGTTATGTGATAACGGTCACGTGGTTCTCGATATAACCTCTTTTCTCTTTCTCTCTTTCTCTCTCGTTCTCTATCTTCGTTTGTGATATCGCGAGTGATCGCGAGCAAAGCCATGCACCCAGATGCACCACGATGCACGTCAGTGGATGGTGCGGCGGATTATATACATGGATCGTGTAGATAGTAAACAAGTCGCACAACAGCTGTGACTTTACTTATCTAGTCATTATCGAGATAAATGAGGAACGTCGCCGACGAATCCGTCGTTAAAGTGTGAATCTTCAAAGGAAAAGTCGAAATTGGCTAAGCAAATTATGCCTGGAGAATCTTGTGACAGTCCGATGAATCAACGGACTGCTTAGGTTATGTTATTCCGTCAAAGTGTTCGTATTTTATTGAGAACCTCGTCAGCCGCTACGTAAAGAGGAATTAAGACTATAATGGGCGATCACATCGGCGATAATATATTAATTCCGCAAGTTGATAATGTTGTATTGGTCGATAAAAGCGATGGCAATAACAAGAGCATGGATGGGACGCTGTGCATTAGCGGTCACCACCTCATCTTGTCCTCCAGGCAGGATGACGGACAGGAGCTTTGGGTAGGCATTAATAAATTATAAATTTCTCAATACATAGAGATAAGACATTAAAGGGGAAAATGCAGTTGTAAATATCTTTTTCTTATCACTACTCCAAGGAATGTCATAAAGGTATCTAAAGGACGTTGTGTGTTCTAGGAGTTTCCATGACGTCCTTAAATAAAATTGCTAGATAGATTTTAGCATATTTGAATAATCTTATTTAAACAGACATCTATATTCATAGGTTTGTTCTTATGGCTGTGTAAACTCATACTTAAAATAAAAGAGACTTTATATAAAACTTTATATATTAAAAATATATATACTAAAACTTTTTCTTACTTCTGCTAAACTTCCAATATATATATATATATATTGGAAATTTAGCAAAAGCAAGAAAAAGTTTTTATGTAGTTCAGTGCAGTAACAAAGAACAGACATCATTTCCTATCTTTTGACTTTGAAAGAAAGCACTATCTACTTTTTAAAAACATATTTAAAAAATTGAAGTTTTGACCATTTTCAAGTACATTCCTCTCCTTAAATCAATTTCCAACTTTATTGAATTTTTTTCTTTTCACCAGTTGATGAACCGAAATATCGACATCGTAGAAAAGAAACTGAATGCTCAAAGCTCGGGTGGTAGCATAATATTGAAGTGCAAGGATTTTCAAATTCTTCAGTTAGATATTGGTTCTACTAACGATTTAATCAACGCCATACTATCTATAGAGAAGCTTATATCACTAGGTAATTTATTGATATAACTTGCAATATTGCTCATCAATGAGATATAATTACCCCTTATTTTGCAGACCAAACTTTACAATATCCATTCTTCTATCGACCACAGACAACTAACAACATCATGGTACAAATAGAAGATGGATGGACAGCGTTTGCACCTGTCTCCGAATGGTCTAGGTTGTTGGCGGCTCACGGAGATGAGTGGCGTATCAGTTACCTGAACAGAGACTACAAAATTTGTATATCGTATCCGTCGGCAGTTATAGTACCGCGTCAAGTAGACGACAAAGTTGTAATAGCTTCAGCTGGCTTTAGAGATGGTGGAAGATTCCCAGTTTTATGTTACAGACACGAAGGAGGGGTAAGTAATATGTTATTAGATCTGTATTTGTATAGCCTGAACTAGTAGTGTACATTTTCGAAACTTTAAGTCAAATATATACAGCCATTGACAAAATTATTAGGCACCCTTGCTTTTTCTAAATTTTTCACAACTGAATGTGCATAAGCTCTCTATTTGCGTGTTGTTTTCATGCTACTGACTTTGTGAGAAGGTCAAGCAACTGAGGCATATAAGTTTCTTAGAGAAATGATAATATGTACAAAACTGTTTAGTGTGCATTTCGACTTCGAATAATACGGACGTTATCAGTCTTGTTTCGAGCAATTGCTAGGCAATTTTTTATCTTATTATTGTTAACATATTATCCGAGATTTCAAAATATGCCTAAAACACGCGAGTTGAGTGAAGGAAAACGGGCTCAGATTATTGTGTTGCATTCCGTAGGATTATCTCAAGTGCAAATAGCAAAAAAAATAAAATGCTCCCGTTGCGCAGTTCAAACTACAATAAAAAGATATAATGATACTAAACAGTTTAAATCCAGATCTGGAAGAGGAAGAAAACGAAAGACTACTGCCAGAGAAGATCGATATTTAAAGCAAAATGCTCTAAAAGATCGTCGGCAAACGGCAAAAGAATTAACTGCTGCGTTAAGAAGAAATTGTTAAATAAATAAGGTGCCTAATAATTTTGTCAATGGCTGTATATTGTAAATGACGAAAGTGAGAAAGAAAGTTTTACAGTCTGTGCAAAAATAAAAAATAGATTTATTACTTTAAATTATAAAGTAACATCTACTCAACTGTGACTTTTCTTTTTTATTGCAGAGTATATTGTTGAGAAGCAGTCAACCGTTATGCGGTGCTACCGGTAAGAGATGCAAAGAAGATGAAAAACTGTTAAATGCAGTTCTAGGTCCCGGAAGACGTGGGTAAATATATTGCTCTTAAATCGTAAATATTCATTTTTTGTATTTTTTGGTGAAAATTTTTCTTATAATTTTTATACGAATTGGAACATTTTTCGGAAATACTCAGAAATATTCGGAAAGTTTACATTTTCTCTCAGAATTTTTCATACAAGTGAATTCTGAAATATTCTGAGATTTTCATAATTAAATAAAAAAATATCATAATACACCATACCAAAAGTACCATAATTAATCAAATAAAGAAGACATCAATCCATTCTTTGAGTATTGATTGTTCACTATAATATTTGCGCTGTTTATCGTCGCTGACTCTCATTAGCCTACTATATTTTTTATTTGTTATATTGTTTAATATTTGGAAGTCCTAATATTATTATTGTTTTTGTTTTAAACAAATATTTTTAAATGTTTTAGATTTTATATTTCATTAGAAATTATACGTACAAAAATCTTAGAAATTTTACGATATTTCAATTAACATACATGAAAAATTCTGAGAAACAATATGCTTTTCTGAGAAGTGTTCTAATTCGTATAAAAAATGTAAAACAGTTATAAAAAAAATTTATATAGAAATTCTGAAAAACTATATGAAAATTCTAAGAAAAATTGTCACCAGGGTTTACAGTCATTGAATTTTGTTTATAGGTACATAGTGGACACAAGATCGGTTAATCAGGCACAGAGTGCCAGAGCCAGAGGCGGAGGCACAGAAATGGACGCGGCTTATCCGCAATGGCGAAAAGTACATAAACCAGTTCCTCGACCACATGAATTAGCCGATAGTTTCTACAAATTAATAGAAGCTTGCAACGATGTCAACAGTTCCACTTCGCAATGGCTGTCGAAATTGGATAGCAGCGGATGGTTAACCGCCGTACAGAGTGCTTTAAATGCTGCCTGTGTAACCGCGCAGTGTCTGCATCAAGAAGCCGCGGCAGTGCTAGTGCACGGTGTGTATATCAAATATTAATAATTAATAATAATATTTAATAATTAATGTTGCGAAGTTGCGAAGTCATCTACTCTTTCCTTCAGAATATTAATCGTGTAATATTAATAACGTAATTTTGATTTATAGGCAGCACAGGCAGGGACTCTACATTGGTGGTAACCAGTTTGGCTCAGGCAATACTAAATCCTGATTGTCGAACAGTACGAGGACTTCAAGCGCTCATAGAGCGTGAGTGGCTACAAGCCGGCCATCAATTTTTCAGTCGGACCCGTTGTGGAGCCTATCAACCCTCAAACTCGCAAAATCCGACACACGCGCCAACTTTTTTGCTTTTCCTCGATTGCCTATACCAGTTGCATCATCAATTCCAATTTAGCTTCGAGTACACCGCGGATTTACTCGTAAAATTGTACAAGCACGCCTATTCTTCGAACTATGGTACATTTTTAGGTATGTGTAAAATATTAATTACATATTTTTTTATTAATCCTTTATAACCATTTATACATTTGTTAAGATTTCCATTTCTTCATTATCGCTATTTATTATGCTTGCTCATCGTAATATGTATTTTTCATGTATTCAGGTGATTCTGAAGCGGAAAGAATAAAATTACGGCTGTCTGAACGGACTTATAGTTTATGGTCGTACATGAATCAACCGGACGTTTTGGAACAGTGGATAAATCCATTGTACGAGCCTAATCCGGGAGTGATTTGGCCCAGCGTTGCACCTATCAGTATTCGACTATGGAGAGAACTGTATCTCGCGCATACGAGCGCAGCCCCATGGGATGGCATGCTCTCCTATGCGAAGCAGATTAAGCAGAATCACACGGCGGTGCGCAAAGTAGCCGGACAACTACAGACGCAGATCAAGCAAGCGGTGGAGGAGATCCGATCGGATCCGGATATGTCACGAGGAGATATGGACAATCAAGAGGATCATCCCCGTATAGCGCAATTGAGCCTAGAGTCTCAGAGTACTTGATACAGATTGTAAAGACCGAAGAAATCCGTGCTACTGTTCAACGATCTTGTCAATATGCCTTTAACTATACGTTAGTCCACAAGGATCAACGGTCTTTACGATAAACCTGCCACGAATGCTGAAGCCTTCGTAATAAATTATTGACGCAATTCTTTCGACTTCTTGTCGGAATGAAGAAAAGGGTGTTTATTAGCTTAAGAATAGTTTGCGTATTATCGTTGTCAATATAGATTTGGATATTGTATCGTGTAAAAGGTATTTCTCTCACGTTATTTCAGTCATAGAAGTCACGCGATTTTCGCCTATATAGTAAAACTCGCATTACCGAAAGGGTATCAAGTATTAAGTATCTAAACAATTTAAACAAGACGAGATAAATTGTGATATTTTTTATTTTACGACAAACATATGGTTCGTATCGTACCATAAAAGAGTTAACGATATTACATAACATATACATATATATTATATAAAAAATTCTATATAATATATATATATATAATATTATACATATATACTTTATTTATCCAAAGGTAAAGTAATATAAACAAATAAAAATGGAATGTATATTGTAAACCTATTATTAAAGAGCGTAATTGCGAGGGTAGAACTTTGAAATTTTTCATTGGAGCATACGGAGAGAAGGAAATCTCGCTCATTCGGGGGTACGGACGAGTTTTTACCGTTATTCGGGAAGGATGGCGGGAGGGCGGTGGACGAGAGAAGGAAGGGAGGGGGGAGGTTAAGGGCAGGATTGTTGCCGCTGCCGTGGTAAAAGGGGGAGAAGACTGGAGGGGAAAGCGCGGCAGGTGTTCACACACAAAGAAACTGAAAGCGAATCCCACGGCCATTGGCTCCGCCACTCAGGAATGCATCGAGTTTCGTCAGCGTTCGCGTTTCGCGATCGAATATACATACACGTGGACGCATCTTAATATAATCGCGGGACAAGAATAGAAGAGAAGAGCGTCTGTACGCCGCGTTAAGTTGCAAAATGCAAAGCTTTGGGATAGACAAAGGACAGGTCGGTGTCGAGAGGCGAGACTAGAGGGCACGGAACTTTAAATTAAATTAAAACAAATAAATACAACTAACGTTGCGATTTTAATCTAACAATAAGTAATCTAAAACGAAAGTCGTTTGCGTTCTTTTAATGCTCCTTGAAGGCCCCACAGGATCGTACCTTTAAGCTTTCTATTCTAACAGAATTCGCGCGATTGAAACCAGTATAATTTCCGTCGAGTTTGCGTTTCCGACGCTTTACCCTCGCGATTCCGTTTACTACGAACGGATGAGGAAAGATCGTTTTGGAGCGCGTGAGTTCTATCGCGTGAGAGATCGAGAACTCAACAAAAAGGTCTTCGCGCTTTAGGATGCGCGTGTATGTACTCGTCGGAGTATCCCGAGGACTAAAGGGTCCTCTACATAGAAGTCGTAGACGGTCGTGGAGTCTTAAGTCGTAGGAAACTGACCAATTCCAATCGAGTATTCTCCTTATATTTGATTGTGATTGGTTGGTTTCCTACGACTTCTATGTAGAGGACCCTTAAGACGTCTTCCTACTTTCGACGCGTTCACGACGCCATTAGGCATCGTGTCTTGGCGGCGACCGCGCGCGGAGAGATTATTATACCGGTTTCGAATCTACGCGATGGAAGAGGATCCGTGAGAAATCGCGACCTCGCGCCTGCGACCGTTACCTCGTGATGCCACTGCGAAGCCTTTCTCTATTTCTTTCTCTCTCTTTATCCTTTCGATCTGCTCCCTCATTTACCTCGCGATATCACTTTTCCCAGAAGCCTCGGGAGAAGAGAAGAACAGGTGTGTTGGTCCATGCGCGCGCGCGCGTTCTCGCTCGCGCTCTCCTCCTCGCCTCAGCACAGGTCCAGTATCCTTGGATGAGTGTGGATCTAGTCACGCATATAATCGTGAAACGTGGACTGAATTCAAACCCATCCAGGGCCGCTGGACGGGCGTATCGGACGATCCCACGTTGCCCAATTTTCCTCTTCGTGCGGAAGATGCTCTCTTCTCGGGGACCGATCCTTGCGGAAATTTCCTCGTCCTCGGTTGAAAGAGACACCAAACGTCGTCGACGGAGCCGGAAAGCAGAGTGATGCGTCCGACGGGAATGGCATTAGCGGCCTCACTCGTAGTAGGGGCATTCTCGGAGAAGGGGCCCCGTAGCAGCCCGTAGTCCGTACCGCCGTTTTCTCTCTCTTCTTCCCTCACCCCCGTTTGCTTCATATCTCTCTCTCTCTCTCTCTCTCTCTCTCTCGGTCTCTCTTCGTTCCGTGCTCCCGATTATCTCTCCTTTCCTTCCTATCTCTTGCTCTCGCAGGCAGGCAGTTACCGTCCGTGAGGCCCTTAAGGAGGGGCGAGAGAAGGGACGCTTTTTCCCAAGGCGTCCGGGAGAATCACAACAAAGAAAGATGCGATTTTCGAAGGGAAGAGCGGAGAACGAAGCGAAGAGACGTTTCTGGACAGCAGCCTGAGAGCGGTGGTAAAATGCTTCTCTCTTTCTCTCTCTCTTTCTCTCTCTTGCTGTTAGAGAGGAGACACATATATACCGGAAGGCGATGCCGTGTTCTTGAGTAAATCGCGTTCGCTTGCTACGCTTCCGCGAACCAGCGAGATGAATACTGGATTCTTCTTTTATCAGTTCGCAAAAAAAAGCGGCGTCCCTATGTAGATGTCATATATTACGGCCGCTGTAATAAAGCACCGAATTTCTATCTACGGTCGTATTTCGAGCCTCGATTTTGAAAAATTGAGCACCACTGCTTCAAAATCAAGAAGCTTTAACGGCGGTTAAAAATGTCCTTTTTTTATCTGAAATAAATAAATTGTTTTAATCCAAAGAATTTTCATTATACGTTGATCTTATATGCACTTGGAAAACATAAGAAATATCATGTTTGTTATTTTGATTTAATTTTTAACAAAAATCTGCAATGTTTAACATTGAAGGAATAACAAATTTTTTTAAAGTTAATACAAACGAACATTATAATTGATAAAAATACAAGATCACATGTTTCTTTGAGAAAGAATTTATTATTTTCTGTCTTTTCCTATAATTTAAAAATAAAAGAGAAAAGGATGCTTATTATTTAAAAATTTAGTTTAAAAAAAGTGGACTTTGGTTTCAGTGAAGAAAATTTGTTTCAGAAAAGTCCAGAATTGTGGAGTTTCCAGAATTCTCCAGAAAAGACAATGCAATTCGAAAATGGTCTGACAACGTGTTTTGTTCGCTCTAAGACCCTTTGTGGCAATTCTTTTACAACGTACACATTATTGTGCTTTGGATATTCGTGATATCACGCATTGTCAGTGAACTCTCAGGTACAGAGCGCCGATTGTGTTGCGCAACAGCGAGCGTGTGCGTGACCTTGAACTTCATCTTTCCTTTATCTTTCTCCCACAGCATCTTGAGAGAAAAGCTGCTAGCCGTACCGTAGCGGTGGTTCATTTTCAAGCGGCGTCATTTTGTCAAATCGTATAAAAATAACAGAGTTTCGTCCTTTCTTCAGATTGAAATTCAGATGCTAATACTCCGTTTTAATTTTTTTTTAGTTAAATTTTTAATGTTGAAGACGCGAAATAATGTTCCTTCCTTCCAACTTGTGTTCTGCGCTTCGTTAATTTCCTGTTAACACAAATGTATATCCGAGGGACACATATATTTTTCGTGCGTTCTTTTTTTTTTAGGATGCACTCTTTGATGCTCTTTTGATCTCGAACGTGTTATTTTCTTACCGCAAACCTCTCCGTGGTAAACATCGCACGAGAATGTTAGGCGTCTAAAATCCGGTACGTTGTAAAACTTGTGAACCGCTCGAGATATTGGAGGACTCTGTTAGACACCGAGAAAACTCGTGATAAAGAAAAGATGAGCAACACCTAAATAATCGTAACGAAGAATGTATTTAGATACGGCGTCGCATGACGATTTTCGAAATAACTCATATATAGTAAATTTTCGACTCCAACGAACAAATATTATTCCATTTGCTTATATTCAAGAATTCTCGCAAGAATCGTAATCAACGATAAAAACATTTACGCGGGACAAAAATTGCATGATCATCAATTCAAAATTATTTAAATTAATTGTTTATTAATTTCTCGAATTAAATTCGAAAATAGATATTTTTTAATATATATGCATTTCAAAAAAATATAAATCTTCTATTTATAGAAAACAATCTGGCATTTGGGAGGTGCAAATGCGAGATCGCAATTTATGAAGTTTTTATTTTGACAGGAAAAATCGGAGCACCACTGTTGAGAGCTACGGACGCTCTAAGGACGGTTGAGAATAGAAAGGAAGAAGAACAAGCAAAAGAGAAGGAGAGAAAGAATGCTAGGTCGTGGAAAGCGAAGGGGAAGGAGCGAGGTGAAGCTCGCAATTGTCGTTTCCATAGTGATTTATATCTCGAAAGTCCGACCAGAGGCACTATTCTTGAAAAGAAACGTATACGAAAGCCTAGAGAAATACTATAGTATACATAACGTATACTGTAACATTTCCATACACTTTTGTATACGTTTCTTTTCAAGAATAGAGCCCTTGGAGCATCCATAAGGGTGCGTTCCAACAGTCAACTCTGTCAATTTTGAATATCTTGTATCTTTGTTCAACATTTGGTGAACAACAAAGATAAAATGATACTCAAGTTGATAGAAGGTCTGTTACTTTTAACTAAAATTCTTGCGCAATTCATCTTTTTTCCTTTTCTCTCCAGAGAAGAAGTTAGAGAGAAAAAGAGAAAAGATGAACCGTGCAAGATTAATTAAAAAGAACATGAATACCGGCCAAGGTGTACCATTTCCGAGAATGCGTAATAGGAGAGTAAATTTGAGGTCAAAATTTGATTGGCTATTCCAATATGCCAGCGCTATTATACGTAGGAAAGTGCATACAGGCTAAAATTTGTTTGGTTGTTTCCAGTATTGCTATTGGCATTATGCGCAATAGTACATACACCTTGTATTCTTACATCATGGGCATAATTGCCTCTGGGATACTCCCTGGGATGCGTTCCGAAACTTAAGGGTGATATCCCATGCAGCGGATCGTGCGTAAGAATCACAGAATCATTCTCTTAGATCTGTTTGCAAATTTTGCGAACATATCTAAGAGAATGATTCTGTGATTGGCGATACGCGAATCCGCTTACGCACGATCCGCTGCATGGGACATCACCCTAAGGGTGGAGTCCCATGAAGCGTATTTGCCGCGTATCGCGTAACCGCGTAACCAATCAATAATCAGTAAAACGCGAAACCACAACAGCGGATCGCTTCTGATTGGTTACGCGGTTACGCGATACGCGGTAAATACACCTCATGGGACTCCAGCCTCACTCTAGATCTGGGGCCGTATTCATAGTCAAAGCTTATTTTCAAGATCATCTTAAGCATAGGGTGCATCCAGAAGCACGACCGCTCATTGAGCGCTCATTGAGCTCTTGTATCTGTTTGGTCTATATTTTTCGATCTAATGGAATATGCCAATCAGAT